TCGTGCCCAGGATCCAACCGGTAACCCAAAAAAGCAGGAGGCTCACCAACGGGAGTACGTGACCTACGTCTCAACAACATCATCTGACGAAACGGGGTTGACAGGAGAATCAACCTCCATGATGTTGCATCGTTGACCGCGACGCACAATTAGCCCGTCGTTATAAATTCTGGCTTGGTTATTCTTTTCGGGGGTTCCGGTCTGACCGGGTGAATCCCTGATTATAGTTTTTTTTTTATTCCACGGATGCTCGGGGAGAGGTATTTGGTCGGTAGGGAAGCACAGTTTGACATGTTTTTCCCTGCGGGCAAAAATGTATAACAACGTCGTGTGATTTTTTTCGCGCGGATGCGTTTTCTATGCATGGAAAAATGAAACTCCCCTTCATCGAAGGTTTGGCACACCTCGACGATTGTATTTTTTTTTTGATTTTCGACGGTCTTTCGACCTGGAAAAATCAAACTTCGAATTAAATTATTCATAAACTTTAACCGATCCGACCCGAGGATCGTCACTACTCGGTTCCTTTATTAATTCGTTTTCTTTTCCGCTGCTTTACGATTCCTTTGTTATTTTAATAAATTATATATATTATATTTTTACACACAAAAATCTGTAGTCGACTTTTTGTAAATTTAATTCAATAAAAATTATACAAATAGTAATAAAAGAGAAATAAATAAATGCTATTTATAACGAAAAATCTTCAACAAAAATGAAAACATACTAAATATCCGTTTCGTGTAATATGCCAATCAAAAATTCGTATAAAAAAACAGAGACTGGGCGTATCGCTTAAATAAAAATTTCGCGTTTTGTTAGAACCCAAGGTACTTAATTATGCGTAACTTAGGAAAAATTAATTATATATTACCGTATTTTGTATAATTTCTTTAATAATAAATATTACATTTATCTATTCTATAAATATAATTTACATGATAAAATATTGTATACAGATTTGTTAGTTTGAAAGTTTTTGATATGACGTTTCTCTTGTTCAGTAATATTAGAACGATGAAATTCAAAAATTATGTAATTTGATTGGTTAATTATCACGGGTATATAATATAAATATCGATATTGTCCAATTATAACGAATTTCTATCATGTTATTAGACATATAAAATTTATATCATCATTATGTTTTTAACTAATTTTCACCCTAGGTGATATCACCTATTATTAAATTATTAAATAAACTTTTAGAAGTTAGGGTTAGAGTTTGAATTCGTATTAGAGTTAAATTAGAGGTTTTATATATGTAAAATTAAAAGAAACCCGAATTAGGTTATTTTAAACCAGAAGTTGGTACAAGGAGACCGAGCAACGAAGTTTAAATACACTACCTGAATGGACGGGTTTTGTTGAAAAGGAGTTCTTTCACATTTATCCTTATAGTCATTTAGTGCTTTTGTTACTTTTTAAGTTAAAACATGGTCAAGATATTTAATTACCACCTTTACCTGAATCAAATGACAGTTTTTTATGCTTAAGGTACATTCTGAATATCTTGAAACTGCATCACAACGTTGAATTGAAAAGAAAGATGAATATTTTATTATATGCAAGCCAAATGCCACACCCGATTCTATGAGAGATTTCTTTATGACGCAGACTTTAGTACATTTATCAGGAACAATTTTAAAACCAATTTCGCTCACGGATGAAATGGGCATTATGGAATTACGTAATATATTGAAGTTATATTTCATTCTATAATGGAAACAACCATTAAGACATTCATTTTGAATGACGATATGAAAAATTATTGTAAATATTTTAAATTGTGCAATACAATCTAAGATACAATTTTTTGGAAATTTAAGGTAAAGTACTATTTTTTAGATTTACGAGTTCATTGATTAAAAAAAAAAAAACTTTTTTAAATTAATTTGTTTTAATTTTTAATTTTATGTACTGTATTGTTTTATATAAATGGACTGTATATGGGCATCATTCGAAACAACGGAAAATTGGTCAAAATTAAAGTATAATTTTGGCAGAACTAGAGCTTAATTTGGGCAAAATTTGCATATAAATTTTGGCAAAATTAAAAATAGAATCAGTTAAATTAAAGATCCTTATCCCTACAACTATTGAAAAGTATTGAAAAATAATAAATTATAGTAACTAATGAATAAAAATTTTTCATCAAATCAACTAATTGAAAGAATTCAATTCATTTTCATAGAGATATAAGTAGGAAAAATTACATTCAGATGACAATGGAAGACAATACTGTACATATCAAAATCATATCGTTTAAATTAAACTTTTTCTGAATAATCTGCAGTTAAATATAAAAATCTTTTATGAATTTAAAATCGAATTAAATTTATTTATTTATATCGGTGATCTATTATTTACATCTCTTTA